AGCTCCTCATTCTCAGATTCTCAGGAACTATTCTTTTCTGTTCTGGTTGGATTATGTATAAAGGTGTAACCTAACATAGTGAAATTCACTCTCTGTGTTAGCTTAGATTCTCCTGTGTGTGTCTCTCTCTCTCTCTCTCTGAGTTCTCTTTATTAAGTCCCAGAAGCCCTATGGATGTAATCCTGGCTCCTTTCCATTTCTGGAGTTTTGATGCATAGCAATGCACAGGCAAGCAGATGTACTCCTTTGGGTCTGTCACCCAGGAAAAGAGAGCATGAAGGGGTACCTGAGATAAATTTCACTGCAGAAAGACTTAAATCCAGTTAAGCAGTAGTCTCTATGAAGAATGAGAACACTTTAGTTTTGAAATAAAAGCTTTTGAAAGAAAGGTAGTAAGTTAGAAAATGTGAAAGAGAAACTTTGGGAGAAAAATGGAACTTTATTGAACTGAAATGCAGCTTCATGAACAGATTATAGCAGAAAATTATTACATTGAAGGAATGTTGGTTCATTTGGTTTTTTCCTTCTTTTTTTCTTCTGAGCCTACATTCCCACACAGTAAAAGTTTTGGTACTGATATCTTCAGTATTCGTCTTGCTTTTTTAAGTGGCTCATGCCTATTCTTTCCAAACACCTTTTCACCCTGCACTTAAGTCTTCCTCATAGCTTTTACTTGTCCAAAAATTTCCTGAGCATACTTCAATAGCTTGTAGTAATCCTTTTACATCTTGGTGTAATATTGCAGTATGAAAAAGGAAATAAAGCTTCTGCTAGGACTTGATGTCTGTTCTATTTTTGTCAGTATTGGTAGAAGAGACACCCCTGTTCCAGCCTGTTTCTAGAGCCAGCTTCTCACTTTTAATATCTGGGATGTTCTGAAGATGTGTTGATGACAATAACTTCTACCAAGGCAGGAGGCCCAGTGCTTTCAGTGACCTCCTCTTTGCCGTGGCTCTTGCTTGACCTGCCACTTTTAGTGTCACTGTCAATTCTGTGCAAGAAATGGTCAAAATGGTTTTGAGAATCTTGGCTAAATCCACTCAGTTGCCTGACTTGTATAGCCATTGAGTAAGTCCCTGTACCACAAAAATTGTTCCTTCTTCACTGCTCACAGTTCAAGTAACATCCAAACGTCATCTGTGAGGTAAAAAAGAAATGGTACCTTGGCGCATTTATCCTGAGCTGTGTGTGAAGATGTGACTGTCTAAAGCATGTAAAATTGGAGAGCTGGGTATCCAGGGTAAGTTTTAGCAGCTCACCTGCTATCTCAGGATCAAATGGCATCATGTTTTCAGTTTTTCAGCTGCTATTGGTAAGCACAGTGTTTTAGAAGTATTTTCTCATCTTTCGGCTGGGATACTAAAATTTAACAGAGCAGTAGAAAAGGAACTAGTTTTAAATAAACATTCCTCAGCACATGAAGAAAGAAAAGGGGCTTAGACTGGTATAAATCCCATTATATTATTCTAGCACAGGGAAATGTGTTTGGGGAGTGAAGATTTGACATATATTTTTATTTTCAAGCGTCATACTAATTTATATTACTCAGCCCTTTAACTGCCAAACTGTAAAAGTCCATTATGCTACTGAAAGGAATATACAAATTATCCCCTGGCACTTTAGGCAGGAGTTTTACATATATGCTGTTATTCTATCAGCCAGCTAGCTGCACGATTCTATTAAGGAGTAAGTGAGAAAATTATATTGCCTGCAAACTAATTCTACAAAAGACTCTGAAATAAGTAATCAGAGCCCAGTTCTTTCTGAAAAGCAGCCAGGAGATATTATAAATCGCTCAATCGCTCTTGTCAGCCCAGTTTAAAGACCCCGAGCTGCCATGTTGATTTTGTTCACTGTGTAACACAACTTCCTCTCCAGCTGTTGACAGGACTGGGGAAACTCAGCTTTTACTATTCCTAGCTGCTCAATTTCAGCCTCTAGCATCTTGAAGTAAGTAAAGAATTGATAGAGATTCCTTCTGGATCTTCCTGTGAAATAAAATGCAGATCTGAGTATCTTGAATGGAAATTCATATCTAGAAGTAAATAAGAAATTATGAAAGCTCTAATGACCTGGAATGTGCAGTAGATTCAGGTTTTTAATGAAAGTAAATCCACTAATACTTGGAGTGCTAGGTAAAATCCCATTTAGTATGATATAGATATCCATTGCATCTACATGTGCTCTGGAGAAAAAGTGTTTGTTCCTTGAACCCTTACTGCAGTGCAGCCCCGTTCTAAAATGCTGGAACCACTTTATGAGGACCAGCTATGGTCATTGGTAATATGTGGATTTTTGTTTCTATTCCTGTAACTCTGCTGAGCTCGTTGGAGGAATTCTTTGTAGCATCTTCATCTTCCAAGTTCATTTTACAACACCAAAAATTAATATTGAGTGTCCGCTATAAAATACAAGTCATTAAAGAAAAGCAGTTTAAATTGAAAGGAGATTCCCCCTGTAAGCTAAAGTATTGGAATCCAAGTGACTAGAATAATAGCTCCTTATAGCATTCTTTAGGTGTCAAGAATTTGCAGGAAAAGTAAGTTACACTGTGCCTGCTGCAGACTGTTGCATAGTTTGCAAAAATGTGAAATGTCAGGGTATGGATTAGAAGTGTCTGCATAATGAAATGAGCAATCTTGCGTTTATCTTTCTGGTTCTGAATGCTGCTTCTTGCTGTTGGCACCTGTACCTTTGTATCTTGGGATGGCATCTCTTGATACAATGAGACTGTTCCACCTGCCCTGGTAGAGAGCTTTGCTTCCTGAAGTTCTCTGTTATGATCTTGATCTTGTTTTTGATCAAGATCGTTTCTGACCTTGTGCAAAGGTATCTTTGTCTTTGATCTTATGCAAAGCATTTCTGATTCCGTTTCTCCTTTTTTTTTTTTTTTTAAGATAGGGATGGTAATACATTTATAACTGTAGTGTAATGAAATTCATTAGATACAAATTGTGAAAGCTTTGAAGGTCTTCCTGTGTAGTGGTTGCGCCTTTCTAAGAATGCCTTGTTAGAAGGAGAGGATAATGTGAATCCTTTTTTAAGCTTGCCCTTACCATCATTTTCTACCTATCCTTCCAAAAGTGTTATTTCCTAACTTTCTAATGTGTATTGGAAAGACCTTTTGCAGGAACTGTTGTACTGAATTCCCTACCCACCATTTCCTTCAGTTTCTTAAATAGCTTTCTCCACAGCAGCTAAGAAAGGGGAAAAGGACTAAACTGCTTTGACTTTTGTCATTAGCATTCAGGCATACCAAGATCAGTTTCACTCACCAGCATTGCTAACTCACTCATGCAGCAATGTCCAGGGGGAAGAAAGCCTGCAAAGGCTTGAAAAGGTTGTGCCACATGTGCTGGTTGTGTTGGCAGAGTGCACATTTTGCTATGCAGACCTCCTTTATCATAAGTACTTAACCAATTTTCAATAGATGTAAGTGGTTTAAGTATTACTTCCTGTTGAATTAGCAGTTGCTGAGCATTTGAGTCTTTGTGCAATCCTGCAATCCACTAATGTGATATTTAATGAGGAGACATCAGTCTGGAGAAAGGTAGTCAATATAAATCAGTGTTTACGAAGTGTGATTAACTCTGAAATATTTCATCAATGCTGTGGTCCCAGGCAGACTCTATGCTAATTATTAGAACCTGTGCATGTTTCAGGGGACTTTGATGGACCCCGAGTGCAGCGAACATGGAGCAGCAAAATTGCGATTATGCTCGGACTGTCTCTGATGACAATTTATGCATTTGGTGTGATGACCTCTTGCTTCCCAAGAGGGCAATAAACAGAATGCATTTTCATTAAGATACTAATGCACTTTATCACAGGGGGAAGGGGTTAGAAAATAAAGAAATACCTTTAAAGCAAGATGTGACAGACTGATTGGGAAGATACTTTATTTGAAAGTCAGTTTCCCAGTGTAACTTCTGGCTGTTGCCAAGTCTGTAATACTGGATGTAATGTTGGGCTATGGGATGCATGGCTGGGCAGATGAATAAGCTGAGCTAAGCTGTTTTATGAAAAGTGCAGTGGTACCAGGGCAAAAGAGAACAGATGTTCTAGCATTTGGACTTGGATACCCAAAGATGTGATTTAAAAAAAGTAAACTGCTCTTGTATTTTACTCATTCATTTGCGAGCTCTTATTTTCTGATTTTTGAGGAGAAATAATATGAATTAAGCAGTAGCAACAAAGAAGAAAAGAGGCTGCTTTGCCCATGATGAAAAGGGCTCACATTTAAGGATGGAGCTTGTTGTAGGCCTTAAGAGGGGACCTGGGAGAAGCAGGGGCAAAGGCAAGCATCTCTTTTAGTTTTTGCTATTCTGGCAGCTTGGCAGGAATGATCCTATTCCTGATGCCTCTCAGTACAAGAACTTGGTCGAAAGTATAGAGAGAAGAGATGTCCTGGAGCAGAGATCTGGCCTGGTAGTTGCAAAACATGCTAGATGTGGTGGTAACAGTCCCAATAAGTCCTGCCTTATGCTCTGTGCCAGCTGTAGTGGAAGAAGGGTGAATTCTGTGGTACCTGTTATAGTTGATTATGCAGTAAAGCAGTCCTCCTTCTGAATTCTAGGCAAAGAGAGACTAATGAAATTGGCTAAAAAGGAAAATAAAGAGTGCTCAGAGAAGGAGCCTAAGCCTGTGGCTTGGTACAGAAAATAAATGACAAAATGTCTTTCTTCTTTCAGCAGGAATAGCATACATGAAGGATTTTCCTAGGGACCATATTTGGAGTGAGACACAGACTCACATTACTTATGGTTTTGTATATATTTCTTTCATGTAGATGTCTAAATTTTAAAAAAAGGGTGAAAAACTTTATCTTTTAATTCAGCTATTTATTTTTACTTGAGAGCCGTTTCCTTTCTGTAGCTCTGCTTACTCTTGATATGTTCCAAAATTAAATACAAAGGCAATTGTATGAGTACTTTTGTATATCTGTTGTGTTGGTCAGTCAGTGAATCTGAGCACCTCTTCCCCTGTCTGTTCCACCACAGGTAACATAGAGTACAGCTGCCCAGCAACGAATGAATGTGAAATCACAAAGCGCAGACGCAAGTCCTGCCAAGCCTGCCGCTTCATGAAGTGTCTAAAAGTTGGCATGCTGAAAGAAGGTAAGACTGACCACTTCAATCTGTATCTCTCTGCAAACACTTGCTACAACTGTAGGGCAATCAGGAAAGAAGAGAGACTGGTGAGTGTTCTAATCAGTTATTGCAAAGGCAATTTTCATATATACTTGCTCTTTCTGACATCTGCTTCTAAGCTATCGAATCATGCTTTATCCACACAGAGTTCATCATCTTGTGTAGTACAGCAAAATGTACCTCAGCATTCAATCTCCTTCAGTAAGTAACTGATAGAATAACCATCAGAATTCCCAAAGATTTCTTTCCCCCATTCCTTATCCACTCTGTCCCAGTTCTGGCAGAAAATCAGAACACACACTGTGCCTTCCTTTTATTCAGTTTTCATTCCATCAGGACAAATGAAAAGGGTTACTTCCAATTTAAACAAGTATCGTGCGTGTGTGTGTGTGTGTGTGTGTGTGTGCTGAAGTTACTGTAACTACACTGGAGCAAATTTTGGCACACAGAAGAGGAGAATCCACCCTCCTCCCCTTTTTTTTCCTAAAAGTGTCTGAGAACCCTGCCCCTCACTGTAAGTATATATTGAATGTTTTAATTCATCAATTACATTTTGAAGCTATTGAATGCAAGAAAATATACTCAAGAAATGATGCTGTCTTACCTGGAACCTGCTTCATCTATGTGACACAAAGAGGTGATTCCTCAAATCTTGGTTGCCTGCTATGCACTTACATTGTTGTTAATGTATATGCAAGAATACACTTGTAAGTGCATGTATTACACACGTTATTATTTTAGGGCACTGTCACCACCAAGAAAGATGCCATGTACTTCTGAACTAGATAAACATTTGAAATAAAATCAGCATAGTGTTCTCTAAGTAATGGAGAGTACTTTGTGTTAAGCAACCACTTCAAAACAATCCTGTTCAATTTTGTTTTGTCAGTGCTTGAAAACTCAGCTTTAATAACTGGCTGATTTTTGTAAATGGGTTGGTGGTAATGCAAAACAGGGTAAGTATGCAGCTGTTGGGGTAAAAATCCAAGAAACAACATAAACCAGTGGTGAGATGATGGACAAATTAGGTCTATCACCTACAGACATATTCTTATTGGATTATACTTACTAAGAATAAACCTTGTTCTGTGCAACTGCTTTGGCAGATGCTATGATCCTGTGAGCCAAATCCTGCTGTCCTTAGTCTTACTTGAGCAAAACTCCTGTCAGATTCGATGGAGATTTTGCCTCAGTAAGAACGGCAGGATTTGACCCTCTCTTCAGTGGTTATGGGAGAGTTCTTACATGCCAAAATCCTCCTATAACTGACCACTAGGAGCAGTCACTTGAAGGTGAAATTATGATGCTTAGATAAACTGTAATAAGAAAGGGATGACTGGGTATGGCACCTTTTGAAAAGGACTGTGCTTCTTAGCATCTTTTCTTAGTAAGTTAAGACCTTGTATCACCAGTTACCTAATATACAGATATATTGAGCAACTTCTGTGAAAATGAAACAGTGCTACCAAGAGCACATGCAGGTGAATTGATTTAATCCTTTTCCTCTGAATTTTGAGGGCACTATTGTGCATGCATTAACATGCATACATTTTAAAAAATCTAGGCTGTATGCAGCTTCTGGGACTGCCAGAGGAAGTTGTCTCCTCTGCAAATGAGTAATTATCTCAGCAAATTTGTGTGCAGATTTACTGTTTCTGCATACAATTTTGTTAACTGAGATAATTTAGTTGGATAATATAGATGTACATTGCGAGTAATATTTTTTTGTTTGAATGTTCATTGTCCATGGATTCAAATAATTCACACAAGTTTTCTTAATAAGAATTGCATGAATTTCCTACTCTAAACGTACATGCCTTTTTCTAAATCACAAAATAACTAATTACTTTGAAAAGACAGTGTTGTTTATCTACCACCTATTTTAACAACCTGCAAGAACATATAAGGGCATTTTATTTTTCCCCCCTTTAGCGGCCACTTTTTAAATCATACTGATTCACAGTACATTTGTAAGACTGTACTTGTAGTAAAGATTTTTTTTTTCTTGTTGGAAGGTAGTTTTGGAGCTGGATGTTGTTATTTTAACCTACAGGAAAGTCTGGAGATGACTTCTTGGCTTGGACCACATCCTCTATGTACAAAATTAAGAAAAATAATGTACTGACTTCTTGCATGTGTAAAGTGGTACAAATTTATTGATTAGCATGGACTTAAAATAAGCTGAAATTATTCTTGCTGCATCTCAAGTGTTTCTTTATGTACAGACAAGGATTTCAGTCTCATGCAGCATGTCAGAGATCATGCTGCAGTAAATCTATTCAAATGTAAACCTGTTCAATTCAATTACCAGTTTATAATAAAATTTGCTGCTGCAGCCTCCACGTTTGTCACAGCAGTCTCTACATGCTGATGGCACAGCATGCCTGGAAATTGACAGCCTAAATCTATTTACAAAAAAAATTTAGTTGCAGACCTGAAATAAAATCAAGTTTAAGCAGCTTTGAGAGGAGCATCACATTCCTTACAAGAACAGCACATCTGCCAGGGTGCATCTTCTCCAGAAATCTTACCTTGTTTGTGGGGAGTTTTCTTGTGGAAATTTATCCTTAACAAATGGTTTTAAAGTGTAATCCAAAGTGAAACAATTATCAGATATTGTGCTTCCCTTCACATTGGAAAGGACTTTAGTACATTGTCATTTTGTGAATTGTCATATGAATTTCATGGTAGTAATCACAGTGCCTGGAAAAAAATTCTGATTTTAGCTTGGCTTCTAGGGCAGGGTCCAAACACCACTTATAACAAATGTGTAGGGTAGCTTCCCTTATGACATCTGCATGTTGAATCATTTATGTGACAAGATAATGGTGTTTTTCATCAAGCATCCAGTGTTTCTGTGGGAGACCCAGTGTTAGGGTGGTGGGGCTGTGTTTTGGGGTCAAATCCTGGGAGGTTTCTGGTCACATGAAGTACAAGGTGGATTTCTGGTCACATGAAGTACAAGGTGGAGTAGGCATTTTCGGTACATTTTCTCATGGATCTTGGTGGGGCTTAACCAGCAGCATCTAAATTAAGATTCTTAATAATTTTTAGGATGTGGGCCAGGAGCCAGAGAAGGAATGCTACAGCAATGTCAGGCTGGGCTGGACTGGGATTGAGGCCCTGGCTGCATCTCCTGTTCAGTATCATAAGAAAGTTTGTACAGATCTGGAGGAACGCATCATTTTGGTTTAGCCCATAGAGTTTTACTTAAAAAACGCATGTTTGGGTCTGTGGATAGGTTTTGAGGGTGTTGTACTTCATACTGTAGCATTCAGCAGAGGCTGATGAGCTTTTAGGCACAGGACAAATACGAGAATGTGGTGTTTTCATTTACTTTTCTAGGTAAGGGTTATTAGCAACAAAGCAGAACACATTGCACTCAAAGAAGAAAATTTACCTTTTTCTATATTTAATTTTGTGTCAGTGTTACAAAAAATCAGGTTTTCAAGTATCCCAATTGATTCTTCCACAGAAATGCAGTTTCTTTGACTGTACTTTTATTTTGGTGCATTGTCTCAGATTTATGAGAACAGCTGAAACAATGTTAAAGATTCTTGTATAGTCTAAGGAGAAACTTTTCAAATGTATCCCTTGAGATTTCTTGAAATAATATTGAAATTGCTAAAAGGATGCAGGGAGACATGTACAGCAATTTGCCCTTTTTAAAAATGAACATTTTTAAGACATTCAGTAGTTTTCAGTTCTGTTGGTTTATAATTCAGTTCTGTCTTTAAAGTTTGGCCTTTCAAACTCTTTGGAAGCCAGTGATTATTTTGCTTCAGATGGTAGAATTAAATCTGTGCTCATGTGCAAGGTTGGGTATTTTGGCCATTTCTCTTTTTATACAGCTAGTTGGATTGAGAAAAAGGGGTTGATTTTTTTTCTTTTCTAAGAAGAAAAATTGGATGTAAAACTCCACAAGATGGTATGGGGAGTCTTGAGTAGCTATTTGACTTTTTTTTCTATTGCTAGGTGATCTGAGTAGAATTCAATATCTAATCTTTAATTAGTACTATTTGCCTATTAATAATATTTGTGGGACTATTTACTAGCATATGCTTGTGGTAGAAGATATTATTCCAAGTTTATTATAGTTTATTATATATAGCTCCAAAGAGCTTCCCGTGTGAAATCATTCCAATGGAGGAATTATTCCAAAATAAAATCACTTTTTGTTTCAGATGCAGCAGTTGTATAACTGTTTTTACAAGAGGTTATTCCATATGTTTCAGTTTTCTCCATAGAGGCAAAGCCTTATCCTCAGTTTTACCTGCCCCTGTATTGTAGGAAGGTTAAAAACTACAGTTCAGAGGGGAATCTGTTGAGTGGCACTAATGCAGCTTTTAGACCATCTGGAATGCTGTATCCTGTTCTAGCTCTCACAGTTCTGTGCAGTACTAGTTTGTATTTCTTGATACCAAAACATCTCCCATGTATCTCTCATTCTGGTATTTGGGTGTTTTCAGAACTTGTTATGGACTGTGTGCAGTGGCTGATCTGCATTGCTTGTTATTTCAGAAAGTCTAGTTCCTAAATGAGTGATACATGGAAAAAACTGGAAGTTTATATAAAAAGTAAAGTATACCAAAATAAAATGACATGGGTCACTTCATGTAAGTATATTTGTATTTTCCTTAGGAATGGATGGCCTTTACAAATTATCATCAGTCACTTGGTACCCAGTTAGAATAGGCAGAGTAACAAAATTCCAGCTTAATTAGTCCTGCTATTACAAATGAGAAGCCAGATCCTCACCAAGAATTAACAGAGGCTCTTCGAGCTTTGTTAGATTGCTGCTCGTTTGGCAATCTGTGCAATGGGGAAATCAGCAATATACCTTTTTGTGTCTGTGAATCTTCACAGTTGCTTGTACATGAGCCATCATTAAGGCTCTAAAAATGTTCAGAAACTCTCTGAGCTTTTCATATGGCAGTGCTGACTTGATGTGTAACCCTTCCCATCAC